TATTATCATTTCTAATTATTAATTATCGTGATAATCTATGAAATATATCCATTGAGAAAATGCAAAATTTTAAAAATCACTTATTTTGGAGGTTTCTAATTTTACATTCATTTCTGAATGTATTCCTTGAGTAACTTTTTATGTAGAAACAGTTTATTTATCAAACTACTGTAAATTTATATAAGTTCGGTAATTTTACAAACATTGAACATTTAATAGTTGAGATCATGAGCCAATTGAAGCTAGACCATCATAAAATACCTGGAAGCACTGGATGGCCATTTCTTTCTATTGTTGAACTCCTCAACAGTGCTCGTCCACGATTCCTCACGCGGGATCCGAACTCAGAACCTATCGATCTCTCGCGATAACGCCTAAGCTCGAGATCACTGCAGATTTGTAAATAAAATGAATGATCTTTCATATTTGTAACATAATGTATAATCAAATCTAAGCTTATTAAATTTGGTATAAGTTAGTTAAGTGTCTATTTCATTTTCATATTTGCTATATGAAATATTTATGTATATATCAGTACATAACTTTTAGTTCTGTTAAATTTATCCAATTCAGTAGATTACGTTTTATTTTTCATTCACATGGAAAACAAATTTGTATATTAGAGTGTAAAATGTACTTGAATACTCGCATGCAGTATCAATTCAATGCTTTTTAAAAAAAATTGTAAATTGAGTTTCATTATCTAAAACAACTAATGATTTCACGAAAATAACTTTAAAATCATTAACTATGTAGTGGTTATTGTACTAAGCATTGAAGTGTCTTATATATATTTTATAAACTGAAACGTAGCTCGTAACTGTACGTACAAATTATATTTTGATACAAAAACCAGAACTGAATGGTAGATCTTACATTAAGGAGTGTTATCTTTGACTGTAAAATACCGTTTATGAAAATAAAGAGTTGACAACGCATTGTGAAATGTACTATTGTTTACTGACTGATTGATCAATTCCTTAGTTTTAGCAAAAATCGTTTAGCGTTTTGTTAGCCAGTCAGTTTTCTACTGGATGGGATCGTTAACCCCATGCCCAACTCTCCTCCTTTATCCGGCTTGGGGCCGGCAGTATCCCTAAAGGAGTTAGTTTGCATTGTTCTCATGGTTAGTGGAAAATAATTTATAAATGAGAAGTATCTAAATTAACTGTTCAAATAAAACAAACAAGAAAACTAAATATTTGAATTCTTGAGTCAACTGAAGCTAGAACATCATGGAAAACCTGGAACCACTGGATGACCGTTTCATCTTATCGTAGGACGCTTCATCAGTGAGCATCTGTGAACCTGCCTCGCGAGATTCGAACCCAGGGTCTTTCGCGTGAGCGCTCAAATACTGGACCACCAACAGTGTTAATATCTAAGTTCAACCAATCCTCGAAGTTGTGCCACCGTCCACCATTGTCATCAGTGAGATAATATCTCACAACAGATCCAGTTGAAAGAAAACACTTAAAAATTTAAAAACATGTTGGAAACACTTGGTATTGTTTGGCTTGTATCTTTCCATTGAGTTTTAAGACTGCAATTGATCAGTCTGTTATTGGCATCTGTGCATACTGTGCGTATGCCTCGATATTGTCTTAATTCACATGCTATTTGTAAGCAATGATGAATAGTGGTTAGCAGTGGAATCCAGAATGCGCGTTTTATCCTATCTGGGACTCGTCGGCTGGATGTACCTGAGTGGATAACGCGATGGCGTTTGAAGCGAACGTTATTAGGTTCGAGTCCCAGAGTGAACATCAACTCTAAGATACAGGCACATCTAGCTGACGAGTCCCAAATAAGATGAAACGCACGTTCTGCATTCCACTGCTAACCACTAGTCATCATGTTAGAAACATTTTTAATCTAGGAACCAGTTGAATTTGTGCTATCGTTTTGAAGAAAATATTTAATATATATATATGCAATATCTTTTTGATACTTGAAATTTGTAAATACTTTACATCATATTCATATTTTATTGTCCTTAAAACTACTGTATAGTTTTATGTATAGTCCATCAGATTACTTTAATATTTACTCCATATTGTAAAGTTTCTAATTTTGTGAATTCATTTCTAATTATTAAACTTAATCCCTGGATACCTATTTTGTATATATCAAAGAGAATTCTTAGTTTTAATTTTAAAAAAAAAACAATCTAAAGATGATTATTTTTATTTATTTCAGTTTAGACCTGTTTTATTTTGAAATTTCCCACGTATTGAAAATTCTTTTGAAACCTTATGTGAATAGTGATAAATATACAACAAAGTAACTAACTATATAATCGATTATAAATTATGGATAAGATTTTCTTTGATCCGTTAGTGAATACAAATAAATGAATATACTAATGTTATAAAAGATTGTTTCCAAGTATCAAGAAGGAAGAAAAAAAAAACTTGAAATACATTTTATTATCTCATTAAAAGTATCATTTCAAAATTAAGTAACATCAACTTTCGTCAATAAGTAATATTTACCTATTTGTGATTTGAAAGATAAAAAAAATGTAAACAAAATTGAATAACTAGATATTACCATCTTAATAATTTCCTTTATGAGTCAAAGTCTGTTTCAATAGTCCATTATCGTATGTACAAACTCATTACTTTAATTACTCAACGAATAAGATTTTCATAAAATAATCACTTATTATCTTTGGTTACAATGATACATGCCATTGCAACCAACACCAAGGTCAGAATTTTCAATACAAATGTCAAAACAGTTCTATTGTATAAGGCGGAAACTTGGAGAACTACGAACACCATCATCCAGAAGATACTGGTATTTATTAACAGTTGTCTACGAAAAATACTTCAGATCCGTTGGCCGGACACTATTAGTAACAACCTATTGTGGAAAAGAACAAACCACATTTCGATGGAGGAGGAAATCGAGAAGAATAGCTGGAAGTAAATAGGACAACCATTGAGGAAAGCACCCAACTGCATCACAAGGCAAGCCCTCACTTGCAATCCTCAAGGCAATAGGAGGAGAGGAAGATCAAAGAACACATTACGCCGAAAAATGGAGACAAACATGAGAAGAATGAACAACGATTGGATAGAAGTAGAAAGGAAAGCCCAGGACAGAGTGGTTTGGAGAATGCTGCTCCATTAGGAGTAGCAGGCGTAAGTAAGTAAGTTACAATGACATATATTGTTTCGAATTGATATCATAATTCAGACTAATCACAGGAATATAATTGTAATTAATGAAGTAATTTTTAAGTTCAATATAAATATATAGTATTTGTGAATTGTGATACACTAATAATGATTAAGTCAATGTTTATTATTCGACAAGTGAAGTGTATATATATTCTGTTAGTTATATTAATACAAATAAAAATAAAATATTGGTAAGCCATTAGCGTTTATATAAAATGATTGAAATAAGTAAAAGAGATTAATTGATATTAATGTATTGTATTAAGATGACTTGATTAAGATCAATGAAATTGATTGTACAATTTTGATTATAAATTAACTCAAAAGAGAACTCTTCATTGAAATGATCTTTCTTATTTCATAGATAAATGAAACGATTATAAATTTCTTTCAAGTTTCAGATCAGAAGATTAATGTGATTTTATGATAAAGTGAATATTATTAAATGTGTTGGTTACTACTTTTAATTTTTTTGATAATTTTTTTTTCACAGAAAAAATGAGGATAATCAAATTATTTTTCATTGTGAAATATATAGTTCTACTTTTTTTGAGCGTAAAATTAATTATCAGTATGCGGTTGTTACTGAGGGGTTCTATACTAGAACGAAACGATCGTCCAGTTCTTACAGGTTTTCGGTGGTGGTCTAACGTTAATCGGTTCATGATGTCAATTAAAAACTCAATAATCTCCGCAACCTCATACTGATAATTATCATGAGCTTACTAGTGACTAACGTTGAAAGGGAATTCTCAGAGTTCTAGTGGACAGTCGTGATCAGTGAAGTTAATCTGTGTCATGTAAAGACAAGTATCTACCTCAGACAATGGAAGATGGTGGCATTGTTTCTTGGATTGGTTGTAGTTGGACATTAACACAATTAGATGCCGGCTCAGTGGAAATAAAATTCTAAAAACGTATTTTAAGCTTAGCAAATTTTTCTTTTAAATGGAGCATAAAACTATGAGTCAGAGCAATGATTTATGATAAAAAGCACTTACGAATAAAGTAAATTAATTTATCTAACTAAAAATCATCTGTATTTAGATCAGATTTGTTAATAATTAGAACACCTATTAAATCTAAATGTATGAGCCGGTTCTATTAATTGTTTTCACTTAAGTTGTAAATAACACGCACACATATCTTGTTGATTTTGACTATCAGCTACAAAAGAATAGATTTAGTAGATTGTATGTTTAATGACAATATAAATTTTAGTAAATTTTAAAATGACGTTTTTTGTGCCGCTATCAAAATGCAATCACACTGATTACATACCACTGGGTTTTAACAAAAAGAATCATTCATTTTATAAAAAAAGAGCCAAATAGTGAGCTGAGACCTGACTCCACATAGGTAGTTTTTAATTGCTATTGAAATACATATGTCGCCAATACTCGCATATTATTATAAAATTAAATCGCGTTGGTGAATTACTTAATTAAATAAGTCAAATACAACAATGAACTTTGAATGCGTATATTTCATACAATCGTTGATCTGAACAGACAATCGATCGGAGAAACGAAGCGAAGAAAGAGAAGTGAAATGAGGCGCGTTGGAGAAAGCATGTGAGCCAATTCAACATAACCAAGCGTGAATTCATATTTATAGTCAGACAAAAATAAGTTACAGACATGTGATGAGTAGGATAAGATATGCGCACACATACGCATACATAAAAACAGACAGGGTTGATAAGCGAATAATTAACAAGGTCGAAAATATGATTCATGAAAAATGAATGAATTAGTCGGCCCGAAAACTAGAATAAACTATGAGGGCTCGACATAGCAACTGACATTACAGTCAATTCAATGGTATATGCTTTAACTTATTAACAAATGATGATAAATTTCTTTTAAGTAAACCTTTAATCACGTCACAAACTAATAATTGGTGATAAAAACAAGCTTTATACTTCTGTTTGACTTTTGTAAATAAGATAATTATGAATAACATAAACCAGTTGTTAGTTAACAGTCTATAACAGAATCTAGTTTGTGATTTTATTAAACCAAACTTTAGGATAACGTATTTATGATGAAACTTTTAAAAAATCGAGCAAATGAGAATATTCTTATTATGTTTAATTATCATTTCTGTTGTGTCATATACAATAGAAGTGGAAATGGGACCATTAAGTTGTTATCTACTATACAAAAGGTTGTACGTTTAATTTTGTACACTCATGCATGTAATCAATATACTACATAGAAATTAGTCGTGTAACTCTTTATGATGTCAACCAACTTTATTTTGTCTGATGTTATTCAGTCAAAGATATTTGATATGCTTAGAGGTTAATATAATTACATGGAATACCTTAAATTGTTCAATGATAAATAAGATTTCAATGGATTCTATGTGAAATAAGTTCAATATTTAAAAATAAAAAAAAATTTAGAAAACTCAATTCACTGATGGTATCAATTTATAGATAAGATCAAAAAGATTATAACCCATAACGTGGTAAATGTTCTCATTAATAATCCTATGATTATTTAAAGTTTTCCTTGGAAATAATTTTACATTCATAGACTAACGTACGTTGTACCTTAGTTATACAACTGATTTTTCATTGTCAAATTTGATTCATTTTGTTTTTATTGTTTAAAACAACTAGTAATTTTGTTGTTTTGTTACAGAAAAATAAATTTTGTCAGCATGAAATAGTTGAGACTTTATGCTAAGATAATGGTTGGGGGTAGTCAATAGAAAACCCACTATCTTATGTCAACATAATGCATGCAATGTCAAGTCACCTAGACTAGTAGCTACATTGTAATTTGGTTGATAGGATTCGATATGCATTAAGAAGGACCTGATATATATGACATTGATTACCACCCAGTGATTGATCAGTTGTAGAAACGTTATACACAAATCAATTCCAGAAAAGGCAAGAGGATATTCCGATAGACAAAAGTTTGAAATATATTTAGTTATAGCATTCACTTTTTACTGAGGATATAAATTTACTGTCTTCTTTAGTCATCAAACTAAGCTTACAAAATAAGGGAAAAAAGAACATTTGATAGTCTGTCAGTTGTGATTAATTTTTTTGATCATTCACAAATGTTCAAAATCTTATATTTCAATAACAAAATAATCAGATGAATGGTAGAGGGATTGACATATTTCTAACACTGATTGTAATATGAGACTGAACAAAGAAAAAAAGAGAAGACTGAATAAAAATTGCATGAACTATTATTGAATCTAAAGATCTAAATCATGATAATGAAGAAGTGTCAATTTTACCTAATACCTTGCATTAGTTACAGGACTACACATTCCATCATTTCTGTTAGAAATAACCAAATGAATGAATGAAACTTTGAAAAACATTATTTAATGAATGTATTGTCTTGACTAAAAGCTTTCATTCAACACATTCACCATTGTTATATCTTTTACTGTTCATCAAATACAGTTAATGAAATATATATTTATTACTTAGTATTGTACTACAAATAATCTGGTTTTGTACAAAGTGATATTTCTTATCGCCAGTTGTATTGTTTTACTTAATATAAATAATACTGTGAGTTTAAAAAAATTGAATATACAGTTCATGTCAATTGACTTGTGTGTTCTGATTTGAAATTGATAAATATAAAGAATTTCAAGGAGTTCATCAGATTAAGCAATTACCAATTATTAGAAAAATCAGAAAAAAATAATAAAAACTTGATTATATTAGAGTATTGCTTTGAAAAGACTTATGTTTGGACAGAAATAATCTAAGAATGTTTCAGATAATGATAGTTGAAAGTGAAATGTAGTTAAAATGTTTCTTGAATTCCGATGAGATTATAATTTTTAGACGATATTTTAACGATTCTTAAATGATCTTGAGGAAATACGATATCACGTAACATATGTTAGTATTCTCATTGTAACCTGATGAACATTACTCGATTCGCATCAAACAACAGATAGTATGATCAAAGATAATAACAAGCGATAATGACTGTAATAATAAAAGAAAAACCCGAGTCATTTTTTCAAAACAAAAAGTAAAATATAATACATTTATTGTATACAGTTAAATATCAGCTTACTTTTATTCATTAGAACATATATAATTGGATTGTACATTGAATTACTCATTGCTAACCAATAACAACATATAAATATAATCGGTAAACTATGACTACTTTTAATTGTTGGACTTAATTGTAACAGAATGAAAAATAATTGATATGGAAGCCAACAGATTGCAAATATCAACATAACTGCACATAACATTTTCACTGCCTTCAAGAGAAGTGAAACGGGTGAAATATTAAAAAAAAGAAAGATGTTTTAAGAAAATATTTAAACGAACTTTCTTTTTAAAAAATGCTTCTGATAAACAAATTAACAAATAAATTGAATTTGGTTTTTACAATAAACTTCATGGATCCTTATTACTATTAAGGTAATATATGTCTTGTTATAGTTTATAATTAGTAAGTTAATGAACACATGATGTGAGCTACAGGATTTTGAGGATCTATACACATAAAAAGTACTTGAGAAGCATCACTGATAAACAAAGAGGATTTGATGCAGAGAGAAAGGCAAGGAATGGCAAAATGTGGACAGCATTCCTGCATTTTCTGAACATATGGAACTCAAAACGATTGTCAATCAATATCAAATTCAGAATCTTCAATACGAACGTCAAAACAGTTCTACTGTACAGTGTAACTTGGAGAACTACCATTATCACTATCAAAATGTAGAAGTATTTATAAACAGTTGTTTACTCAAGATACTTAATGTCTAATAACCGGATACCATCAGCAACAGCTCTCTGTCCGAGCGGACAAACAAGCTTCCAGCTGAAGAGGAAAGTAGGAAGTGACATTGGACTTGGATAGGACATACGTTACGGAAGTCACCAAATTGCATCACGGGGCAAGCGCTAACTCGGGATCCTGAAGGGAAACGGAAAAGAGGAAGACCGAAGAACACACTACATCGGGAATTGGAATCAAACATGAATAAAACCAATAGAAACTGGAAAGGATTATCCAAGACAGGGTTGGATGGATAATTTTGGTGGGTGGCTTATTCTCCTCCACGAAGGGAACATACGTAAGTAAGTAAGTAAGTGACGTACAAAAACTCCACGAGTTATTACAAAAAATAGTAATTGGGTATGGTACTAACTAGAGCTAAAATACTAATATATTTTGATGACAGAATAATTATTAGAATGATAAATTTACCAAATTTATTTTTTGTGAACACTGTGCATACATTACGCATAAGTGAAAACATTTTGAGACGATTTCACTGTATGAGATGTGGCGTTCAATGTTTCCTAAACAATTCCTTATTACTTAGCAAGGTAGAATTTTTGTTTTGTAGTCTTACTACTGTGTATCTGTGTACCTACCCGAAATTTTCTGATTACAATCATCTAATATATTAATCGCTATTTTTGAAACATTACAAAACCTATGCTGTACTTAGCAATTATTCCATCGAAATTCTAAAGCAAGTTTAATCCTATCGACGTTCCTAGTGAACGTTTAGGATACAAAATTACTTAAGGCAACATTCAAAGAAATAATTATATAATATTGGATTACTTACTCGTCTTTTCGACTGAACATTTTGGGCTTGTGCCCTAGTGACTTCACCAAGTCCTCTATGAAACCATAAATGAATTGATATTGGAATATAAGTTGTGGCAAGTATGATAAGAGGAAGAACATACATTAACACAAAAAGTGTATAATCGTACCTATAAAATAAATATGTTGAGTAACAAAACATTATTCCTTTTTTTTAAAAAAAAACTTCCATGATTAAATTATCATTTCATTATGAAATAAAACAACGTACTGTAATGAACAAAAACACAGATGGGTACGACCAATGTATTCTAATGCTAAATTACACAGTATCTTGGTAAAATATAAGAACCATACACTGAATACTTTATTTGCCAATTTCCATCATTAATCCTTCACATTCCGTATGATACTTCAACTTCACAATATCCTTATATTCTCTTCAACTTTATCTTCTTAACTTTCTGATTCCAGGTTTTCCACTTCCAACTAGTGTTACATACTACTTACATGTACCACAGTATATATAATTTAAAACTTATAGTTCAATGCTTAAAGTAGGTATCTTTTGTAAATATTTAGTTTTAATGCTTTTAAAAAAAGTTTTTTTCGGCGAGACTATAATTTTTGGACGAACCAATCAGGTATAAGATGATAGGTCTTGGATTTTGGCTCAAAATTCATTCATCCGTTCCGTTAAATAGAGTTTTGACATTCAAGCTAATGTCAGTTCGTGATGCAAACCATAAATCTAATTCTTAATCCTAACCATTAATTATAAATCATAATCCTTATTCTTCAAAGTGCTTCATAATCCTCATTTATCTATGGTAAGTAAATGGACATTCTCAAGGTCATTTTAGCGTCACTCAACGGTTGTCCATAAATTACAATCTCACCGTTTTCATATGAAATTTGCTTTTGTAAATGAGTTGAAAATCTATAATGTAATTTAGTGTGCTGACATAAAATTAATTCCTGAACCAAAGTCAACTTAGGTTGTGTAGATAATGGTGACGGTAGCGCAATTTCGTGGATTGGTTGGAGATAGACATTAACACTGTTGGATACCGGCTAAGCGGTCTAATGGTTATGCGCTCGCGCGCAAAACTGATAGGTTCTGCAGAGGAGTCCCATACTAGGACAAAACGGCCGTCCAGTGCTTCCAGTTTTCCCTAGTGGTCTAGCTTTAACTGACTCATGAATTCAACTATTGAAAAAAATAAGCATTCAACTTTCTTAATTTTTATAGATCATTTTAAAATGATTTGTACGGTGTTTGTATAGTAAGCAAAGAGTGATGGTAGTTAGCAGTGGAATCCAGGACACGTGTGTCATCCTATTTGGGGTTCGTCAGCTGGATCTACCTGCATCCCAGAGTTGAAGTCCCTTCCGAAACTCGAAACGCCATTGCGTTATACACTTAACTACTGAGTTCTGATAACCAGTAGCTTGTGCGATGGGGCGAAGTTTACATTCATTTTGTAAAGTGTTTCATTGAATTTAGTTATGAAGTGTATATGTGTCATAGCCGCGTACCACACATAATAACTGGTACACTTTAGAGTTACGCGCCATTTTTTTGCACTTTTGTCACATTTTAACTAATGAAGCAAATCGAAACAGGACTTAGGAAATCACCAGTACTACTCTTGCTCATTTCATCCTATGCTGTACTGTATTGGATAAGCATAAACGCACCATTTTGAATGTTATAGCCGTATGTTCTGTTCAATACAAGTTTTCATGTAAATAACAGATGTTTACCAATGTTTATGACGGCCAGAATATTTGAAATTATTACCAGATAACCAATTTGTTTTCTAAAACAATCAATAACTTACGCTTCAGACCACTCTGATGACCAGTTAAGAATACAATCATTTGAAACATATTGATCAGGTGAGTTAACCGAGATTTGTTTCACCACAACAAGTAAATCTGTACTATTTACTATATTTTGCAAGTTTGATAAGTTTTTTGGATAAACCGTAGCTACAATTAAACCAGGCAGTCCAATTGCAAACGAAATTAACCAAATAGCTACAATTGCACAAATAACTGTCTTCAGTTTTGAACGTGGACGAAGAGGAAACATGATTGCAGTATATCTAGAATGGCAAAACACATATTAGGTTAAAAAAAAATTAACAATTTAATCAGTACATGCAAATTAGACAGTTTTCTTACATACAGAAAAAAACAGGTATTGCTCTGTGCATGAATAAATTTATTTTTCGCATGGGACGTTTGTGAAAAATGATGAATGTTTCATAGTTTTTATTACAGACTGGCATCATTTAATCATTTGAAACCAGTAAGCACTGTAGAACTGCTTCATCTTAGTACAGGACCGCTCGATAACGTACATCCAGGACCCAACCAAGAAACTTCGTTTTCGTGTCGAGAGCTTAACATGTATACCACTGGTTCAAAATCAAGTTGTATACATTTCTAACTTCACTAAGTTCGCGATACTGGTCAACCATCTAACATTGTAGGAGGTGTTTAAATGTTTCACACTCAAAATTTCTGTAACCCACTGATGATGTGTTTTTACAAGAACTCCTGGAAGAACCTCTAGATTCTAGTCACCAGTGAGCATTCAAAGCCGAAGGTTCTAGATTCCATCCTTTGTGGTGAAGTGGACGTGCAATATTGGTAAATTTCAAATACCACTGAGCTCGCACCCAGTGGTCTACCTTCAATCAATTCATGGTATTACGCAACCTTCATCTATAGTCTTTGGTGGATAACTACCTCACAGACGACATGGTTGAATTTTAGTTAAGAAAGTGAATGCATCTCTATAAGTTCGAACTTTATTTCTTCACTTAATATAAACGATAGTTCTTTATTTTGAACATATATGTTCAATGTAAATTTTGGTTTGTGCAACAGTTCAGATAACATTTTATTTTCACTATTGAATTCACGAGTCAATTTAAGCTAGACCAACACTGAAAACGTGAAACTATTGAATGGTTTAAATCGACTGATGAATTCAACTGTGGAAATACTACATCTTCACAAATCCCCATACTAACAATTTATTTATAACCAAAGTGATACATATTAATTTTTGATTATTAATTCAAAGTATATTTTAATCCAGTGTATGGTGTTCGCTTGCGCAAACACACACAGAGTTAAAGAGTGATCTCATCAATTATTCCAAGCGTTCAAGCTTATCTGATAATGGATATCAGTAGTAGAATCTTTAAAAGTACATGGTTATTGTTCAAGATTAAATAATAAACGAAAAATACACTGATATGCAATAAAATGAAATATTGATAATAAGTATTTTCATGTTAAATTCAGTTAGTATTGTTTACTTGAATCTTCCCATTGGTGTTTAGGATTGCAATTGATCAGTCTCTTATTGGCATGTGTGCATAATGTGCGTATTGCCTCGGAATTGCATTAATTCACAAACATTCTAAGCAAAGATGGATAATGGCTAACATTAGAATCCAAGACGCGTGTTTTACCCTATCTGGGACTTTCCAGTTGAATGTACCTGCATCTGGATTCGAGTCTTAGAGTGGAAATCAACTCTGAAATGCAAGTACTACCAGCTGACGCGTCCCAAACAGGATGGAACGCGCGTCGTAGATTTCACTGCTAGCTACCATCCACCTTTGTTGATATTCTTATGTTGATTTTGAAATTTAAGTTCAGTAATGAACTAAAATATTTTATCAATTAATACATCGGTGTTCATTCCTTCATAAAAATTTCATAGACTATTTCATTCTCTACTTTTTTTTCCACTAAGTATTAGCGTAGTGTTACTGAGAATATTTTATACTGAAGAAAAATTGTTTTACATATTCACACTAAATGCGTTTGATTACTAGATGATGACCAGATAATCCTTTTGCTAGAGTGAATTTAGAAAGGTAGGTATCAATGCCAAGGTTGGATTTGATAGTTTTGAATAAATTAAGAATTATCAGAATGAGTTTTGTGGAGATTTTAGTAGATTTCATAGGTTGAAATCATGAGTCAGTTGAAGCTAAACCACCATACTAGGACGAAACGGCCACAGTGCTTCCAGGTTTTCAATGGTGGTCTAACTTCAACTGACTCATCATTCAACCTGTGAAATTAAGAATTGGGTAGAAAGTCGATAATAAATATACTTTTTGATATATCACAATGAGTAGAAAAATTGTATCTCTGACGTTTCGTGATTTAATGTAAGCCACTTCTTCACAGTAAATGAATAAGTAGTAATTATTGAATTTGGAAATATAAACCATTATTTATCAAGTTGTTGTTAAGCAAATATAATTCTTACAATGTGATCAAAAGATTCTAAATTTGACTGTCAACAAAGTAATGGATGAGAACTGTTGAAATTTCTACAAGAACAAAGTGTCTTCTCAATGATGTTTTCTTCAGAATCATTGTCTAGCTTAATTCAGTTCACGTTTTAAAGTTTCTACAAAAGTTTCATTTCAGTACTATTCAAATGTCATTCTTTAAACACTTATGACACATTCAAATATTTAGTTTATTAAAATATTTATTTTGGTATGAATTCTCTAAGCTATTACGAATTCTGACTTTTAAAGCTTATTATGTTTTGGCTGAAAAAGAAGAGGATTTCACATTCTGTATTTTTCCTCTACTGACTATTCATCATTTATCCACGTTTATCGAATTTACCATTCTCATTTATAAGAATAACTTTGTTAATGTATTGATCAAATCAAATAGTTTGAAACTATACATAACAATTAAAATGTTAAATGATCAAATACTTTTAACGGAATGAGTTTGTTAATTATACTACAACACCCCTATCTGAATATTTACGTATGATCGATAAGTTAGGAAAAGTGGAAAATGAACCACATACTGAGTAATGGAAATTACGTTTGTAATATAAAGTATTATTATGTACATTTTGGGATTTGATCACTCTAAGATTGTATACTTCTTATTACAGTATATTATACCGTAAATTTAAAGATTATATATACTTGTCATGAATATTTTTTTACATTTAGTGGTCTAGAGGTTAAACGTTCACGCGCGAGACCGACAGGTCAAGCGTTCAAATCACGCAAGGCGGGATCAAAGATGCGCACTGATGAGGAGTCTCACAGTAGGACGAAACGGCAGTCCAGCGCTTCCAGGTTTTCCATGGTGGTCTAGCTTCAATTGACTCGTGATCTTAACTAATAAAGTTACTATAATATCCACAAGAACCCCTTCTGACAATAGTATAAAAGTTATATATATTATTATTCCATGACTAATTGATTATACTCACGTTTAACCAGATAATTAAAATAATTTCAGTCAGAATAAACATTTCTACATAAATGTCACTAAAATGATGTAACCTGTTACCTGTAAACGCTGGATATTTATCTTTTATTTTATTTTTTAACTCATTCCATTTATTGCTTATTTTCAACTGTTTTAATAAGCTGAATTTTAATACACAGATTGTACTTAAGAAATCATTGATTTATAATGAAGGTTAGCATTCTATGTAACAAATTACACTTAACTCGTTTAGTCTCTAATCATATTTAAACAGATAAATATAAGTAATTCATTCAAAAGTAGTCAATTCTTTTTTGATACATAACTCCGGAAATGAAATAAAGTGCTTCGAATTGAAGAAATGATGTTGAATTTCATTGAAAAAATGCTGTGTTTAATTACTTCTACAGAGATTAGGTGATTAAAAAAACGGAAGAATACAAAATGAGGAAATCAAAACATTGATCGAACTAAGTATATCATTTTTTTTTAATGTTTTGTTAGATGTAGCTAACAAATTAAATGTATACGTAAATATATTTAATCTTTTTCAATAAATATTATTCTCAATAAATCAGATCATGAGTCAACTGAAGTTAGACCACCATGAACGGTGGCGCAGTTTCGTGGATCCGTTGAAGTTAGACATTAACACTGTTGGATACCAGCTCAGTGGTCTAATGGTTGAGCGCTCACGAGCGAGACTTATAGATCCTGAGTTTCGAATCTCGCTGGAGGGCGGTATCGTGGATGCTCGCTGATGAGGAGTCCCATACTAGGGCGAAACGGCCACCAAGACTTTCAGGTTTTCCATGGTGGTCAAGCTTCAATTGACCATGATTTCAACTATTGAAATTATTAAAATCTCCACAAAACCGTTTCTGACAACAAGAAAAACAGTTTATTCAACTAATTAACACGTTTTTTTTAGTTAAGTTGATTGAAACCTCCAACTATTCATATACAATGCACCCAGTAGTATCAATTTTCGTTCTTGATATCCAACAACAACTTTTTCAAAACATAATAAACGGACTTCTGTAAATTCTTCAGAAGAAAGATATTCAACTACTCTATTTGAAATAAGTAACGTTAGTAAAACCAACGTTCCTATTGAATCATATCAAATACTAAGAAAATTATTATTTCTAGGTATAACGGTTGGATATTAATATTTTATGATCAATAAATTAAATAATATTTCTTCTACTTATAATTTGGAATGTTAATCGAAATTTATTTGTATAATGCTGTGAACCGGAATAATAATACTTTTCACTTTGATGTAACCAAGTTCTGTATTTTTAAAAAACGAACTGATCAAGTTATCAACAACAACAAAACAGACAGGTTGTTTAGGATAAAACAAACGTTTACTATTCATAAATGGGTTTCTAAAGTGCTATTAATAGATAATAAAAAGGTAACAAGTTGAGTTTAATATGAACGTTTATTTTTGACTTGACTGTAAATCATTTTTGATAGTGAAATAAGATGACGAAGATTATTGGAACTGTCGAAGTCTATCAAAAAGGGACTAATTACTGTAAATTATTTGTTTGATTCTAATAAAACACATTTTTTTATCACATAATACCAGTTCTTACTTTATTCAGTCGTGACCAACATGATCTCGTGTGCTGTTACGGATATGAAGCTGATGTCACTTCCTGGCTGCCCACACCGCGGAAGGGTATTTTTTGAAGAACATGAAAAGGAAGTTGGATTAGTGTTGGTCTTAAAGACCTGACAGCAATGGCCGCAGAGCCCAAGAGACAACCGTTTGACGCTGGTACCACACGGCCTTTTTGTGGGAGGTTTTAAA